AAAAGATTTTAGATTTTGTTCAATACACTACAAAGTATCCTTAATAATATTAAATGATAGTTTTATTATTGAAATATATTATATATTTTATATATATATATATAATATACATACATATATATATATATATATATATATATATATATATATATATATATATATATATATATATATATATATATATATATATATATATATATATATATATATATATATATATATATATATATATATATATATAACAAAAAACAATTAGAACCACCCGAGTTTAGCTCAAACAGTCACAGTATTAAAAAAGTTTTATGTTTTATTTAAATATAATATACCTGTTTGCAATATAATTATTAAATTACCATAGAGATATATTGAGCTAAAAATTCAATTTTAATTTAATTGAAATGGATGTTCAATTGATTCAAGAAATTGAATTACAAAATCAAAATTGAAGAACAGTTCAGCGCACCGTCCTTAATGATTTTTCAGATGTTGAATGTCGTCGAAAATTTTGATTACCATTGCATAAAATACCAGAAATTATTATCACTCTAAAAAATGATTTGTCTCCAAAAACAGATTAAAACAATCCCATTTCACCAGAAACAAAAGTTCTTGTTGCCCTTAGATTTCTAGCAACAGGAAGCTTTCAAAATACTATTGGTAAGAACTTTTAATATGTTTAAATTGATATATGTGTTTGATATGTAAAACTGCATTAATATTGTTATACAAACATAATGAATAAGCTAATGAATAAGCTAATCTTATTTTTAATGTAGGTTTTTAAGACACAAAAACCAAATATGATCTTTAAAATTAACGCAAATTTTATCACTAAGCGAGTTTACATATTTTGTATAAAACCATAAATGTTTTAAAATGTTTTGGTAAATATAAACATTTCAGAGGTTTCTACATCTGAATGAAACTTTTAAAATTTATTATTATTTAAATTTAGGAGACACTTCTGCAATAAGCCAGACAAGCACCAGTAGAGTTATTTATCAGTTTTGTAAATTTTTTATTAAACACTACAGCTATTTTGTAAAATGGTACAGTAGCCAAGAGAAAATGGTTGAAGTAAAAAGAAGATATTTTGAAGCTTGAGAAGTAAAGGGTCTTTTGGGTCTAATTGATGGTACAATGGTGCCCATCAAAGAAGCCACAGGGGCTGATGAGCCAGCTTTTATTTGCAGGTAAAAAATAGTTTACTGTAATCTATAAGTAGGAATGATACAAATAGATAGAATAATAGGTAAATAATATGATTGATGATCTCCTTCCAGCTATGGGTCTATAGCTCAGCTGCTGGGGGCAAGAAAAAAGGACCCCCACTTTTTTAGCTAAGGAGACCCACAGAAGTTTTGAGGCTCTTCTTTTTTTTTTAGAGGGCATACACTTCTTTTTTTTTCAGAATGAGCCAATTCGAATATCATGTGGTTGGGGTTGAATTTGAAGCATAGCTTCAATTCAATCCCTAGACCATCCAACCACCAGATGCAAACATTTATTTTTTATTTATATTTATTTTCTGTAAGATTTAAAATGATCAGATGTAAAAAGTTTTAGTTTCAGAGTCTGTATTCTAACTCATAAAAATTCATTGATTTTACTAAGCATAATGTGTAACTTTATTTTTTAGAAAGGGCTATTCTGCTATAAATTGCCAGTTTGTTGTTGATCCAGATGGACAGTTCCGAGATGCTGTTATCAAACTTCCAGGATCGTGTCAAGATGCTTTTGTTTATTCAAATTCAACTTTGAAACAGACATTGGAGTTTGATCCAGCTTCAGGTTTTCTTTTCGGTGATTCAGGCTATGGGTTATCACCTGTCATGATTACTCCATTTAGTCTTCCATTAAACCCTGAAGAAATATTGTTTAACTAAATTCACTCAGGGGTTCAAAGTGAAATAGAACGTTGTTTTGGCCGTCTTAAAAACCGATAAAGGTGTCTACATAAAAGTGGTGGAACACTTCAATATACCCCATCCAAGTGCTGCTCAATAATTTATACTTGTGTAATACTCGAAAACATGTGCAATTCACTTGGTTTAGAAGATCCAGACAACGTAGTAATTATTGAGGATGCAGTTGACAACACTGAAGATAATGGCAACTGTTCAGGTGTTGGTCAAAGACAAACCAACCAATTTCGACTTGGTATAATTAGAAGAAATAATTTAAAAAGTTATATGTTTGCCAATAGACGGTAGTGGTGTAGTGGTAGAGCGCTCGCTTCATAGACGAGTGGTTCCGAGTTCGATCCCCACCACGTCCCTGGTAGTACCGCGCTCAACTTGTTTCTCCGCGCAGCGGCCCTGTTCGTCAAGGTTCGTGTTTCGGAGTTATAGAGTTGAGAGAGGGTTATAACCACAAATAAGTAGCCTCCTCGTCTGTAGTGGCCTTCTCGGCCTTGAGGAGGTGAATTAAAATAAAAAAACATAATAATCTTGTTTTTATATAAAAATTAACATCTTTTATGGAGAAAAAAACATTTTATTAAATTTTTTTGAGCGAGTTATTACTATATTATTTATTAGATTTTATATTGTAATCCTTGCGTAATTTTTATTAGATTATATATTGTAATTCTTGTATTAGTTTTTATTAGATTACCTATTATTAGATTGTAATCCTTCTGTAATTTTTATTAGATTATATATTGTAATCCTTGTGTAAGTTTTTATTAGATTATATATTGTAATCCTTGTGAAAGTTTTTATTAGATTATAATCCTTGTGTAAGTTTTTAGCGAATTATTATTATATTGTTTACTAAATTATGTTTCTGAGCGTTATGGGCGTCTTATTTAACTTTATTAACTACATCTTATGGTTTCTATGTTTGGTTTTGTTGTCTGTATTATTGATGGTGTGTATAAAGTAAATTTTGTTGATTTTAATTAGTGAATTTAAAAATCATTTTAAACTCTTATTAATTTCATTTTTTCTAGTATCTTGAATACTTGCAGAGTGTTAATGTAGCAGGGTAATATTACTCTTTTGAATTTAAAATAAACCTTTCGATAAGGCAAAGTGCCCTAATAATGGCCGGGTCTTATTAAGAGCCAAATTTGGGTCCACTTTTATTGCATTTATTTATTTGGCGGAACATTTATCTAGTTGTTGATTATACTTTTCTGTTTCTTTAATATATCTATGTTTTAATTTAACTTTTATAAATGTTTTTTTCAGTCTTGATTTTAAGGAAATCTTATTTTTCTCAATGTTAGTTTAAGTGAATATTTTATGCCGTAAATAGTCATTTTTGGTTTTTTCATGCAACTTTAAGACACATTTAACGCAATATTCCTTCAGTAACGGCTTTTTGGTTTATTTTGATCTGTTGTGTACTTTATTATTACTAGGTTGTGTTTAGATCATATCCCATTCGGAACGATTATTTTTGTTTGCGTATTTTTAATAGCAAGGTAGATAAAAGATTAAAAAGCAAGTTAGATAAAAACAATAGTAAATATTTCGTAGGGGGTAGTGCAAATCCGCGTAACTTACTTGGATATTTGGGTATTATTAATTTTAACGCCAAATATTTATTGTTAAAATTACAAAAAACATGAATAATACCCTTTATACTAAAATGAACCCAAAACCAGTTAAAATAAAAAATATATAAAGTTTTAAACTTCTCTAGTAAAAAAAACGTACTGTAGATACGCGGTATTATCCAATGCTAGTTACGCGGTTTTGTACTATCCTCGACGATTTAGTTTTCTAAATGACATTGAAGCCTTATTAAATTTATCTTACACTTAAATAACGGTGCTATTTAATAAAAATATTGAATAATAATAAACAAAACTAACAAAGTGCAATGTTTAAAAATGATTTAAGTACTAAAAATGCACTTAAAACAACGGTCTCTAATTTTAAATAAACTTTTTTAGGGTAAAACCACCAAATCTAGGCCACTTAATTTTAAACTGCGTCATATGTTACCGCGATTGGCTAAGACTCTTAAAAATATTTCTATACTTTTATATATTTACTATACTTTTAAAAAACCTCTCGAGATCATCAAAAATTTCCAAACTTGTCATTTTATGATAAGTTTGGAAATTTTTGTTAATAAATTAAAAAGTTTTAGCACAAATGTTACAAGGCGTAAAAAATACCAAATCATAGCCATTGCGAACTTATTCCTGGCCATTACGTTTTACGATGTAAAAGTAGTGATAATATTTTAAATTAACAACAAAACAAATTTATTGTAAAGAGTTTAAAAAAAGAAGTTCTGCGTAAATTTTTACTTGTGTAAATTTAATTCTTTTTTTTAACAGGTAAACTAACAATAGATTTAAAAGCGCTTCGCAACATTTAAAGTTTTCAAATTAGCAAATGTTTTTAAATAAATAAAAAACGACTCTCCGTTTCCAACTTCACCGAAAACGTTTAAATGGTTCGAGCGGGTTCAAACCCGCAGCCTTTAGTTGCTTTAACCACTGCACCACGGCTACTAATCTAATAATAATCATTTCATTTATATCGTATCTACACTCTAAACCCGAATGGTTCTTCAAAGAACCTTTAAGGGTTCTTCGCGTTGACGCTGGTGGAACACTCGTAGAGGTTCTTCAAGGAACCTTTGAAGAACCTTTTGCAAAGGTTCTTCGGAAGAACCTTAAAATAAAGTTCTTTAAAGAACACGTTATAGTTCTTTATCGAACCGTTCAATGTTTTTGCATAATTACTTCGTTGCAAGGATACTTTTTTGACTTCTTGAACATTTTTTATATTATATATTATACAATATATAATTATTTAATAGATTTTTAATAGTTAATTATAATTATTTAAGATATTTAAGCTAGTTGCGAAAATAAAATTGTAAACAACGACTTTCCTAAATATTTAACATATATTTCAATATATGGCAATAAAGAAAAAAAAACTATTTTTAAACAATTTATATAAATACTTTCAAACAAATAACAAAAATAAATTTTATTTTACAATCCAATATGTCTATGTTTATAAAAATATGTCATCAATTATAAAAAAAGGTTTCTAGTGCTAAATCCATTGTCCAATATATAAATGTTTTTTCTTGAAATTAGATGTACGAATAAACGTGAGATTTCTGAAGTCGCAGTCGTTTGAAGAATTATCTAAAATTCAATATTGGAACACAGTTTGAAAATTTTAAACCCTAATACCAAAAACAACTCCTATGAAAACCCTTTTGAGGGGTGTTAGTATATCATAGGGATCTCATAACAAGTAATTTTGAAATCCGGGATTACCGTCCGCAAGACTTATTCAACATTGAAGTTTTTGCTTTTAAATTACGAAACCTGAAAAATTGCAAAATTCCTCCAAAAATATATGGCTGCCCTAAATTACCATATTATGAAGTAAAAAGGTAACAAATTATAAAAATACATCTTAAAACATTTATTTATTACAAAATAAATACATTCTAAAAATAAACTAATAAATTCTCAAAAATGCAACATGTTCATTGATGGTCAGTGCCTCATAGCAAGCTACTCTACATTTTCTTGCTGTTACAATCAATGACACACTTCAGGAGTTGACTGGAGTAGTCTGGATGGGTGTTCAATCTTTTGTATCGCTCCCAATGCTTGCCAAAATCCGAATGCAGTGCTTCAGTGGCTTGTTCACTGTATAGACCAAGGCTTTTCTTTTTCAGCTTTTCAGAAAACAGTGTGAACCTTTGGAGTAACAGAGATTCCCAAACTCATGTAACTGTTTTTGAAGATGATGATTTTTTCCTCATAGTTGGGATGTAAAGTTTTTCCAAAGCATGCAGAGTGAACTTCGTGAAAGTCTTTGAATGTCTGAATGAATTGAGATGGCTCAGAAGTGCTCTCATTTTCAGCCATTTCAGCCAATTTGTCAATTTTCCTCAGAAGCTTCATGCAGTCATTGCCATTGAAGTGCCCTCCATGAAAAGGCTGAATCTTGATGTGCAATGAAGTTGGCCATTCTGTGGCCTTTGGCCATTTTTGCACTAAGCATTTGAACAGATGGTTGACGACCCCTAGCAGAAGGTGAAGCTCCATAGGTGGGATGAACTCCAAAATCAGTGCTTGATCAGGACCAAAGATTAAAGGACTGTGGATAGCATTTTGGAACTCCTTGGATCTTCTTACATCTCCGCCACTACCCACAAAGCTTTGATGTTGAGCTCTTATAGCTCCAAAGAATCGGGGATTCCCACACAGAAGAAGCTTTGAAGACTCAATATCACACCAACATCAAGGGTGCTTGCTGCAATGAGACTGGATGCCACAAATAATGTTTGCAAGTTTCATATCGCAAGAAATTACTGCAGCTTCGGATGGGATTAGTTTTTGAAGCTTGATGAGCCGAAAAATCTCTTGCACATTCCAATAATTTTCAGGAGTGTCATCAGCAACAGCCACAAGAAATTGCTTTTTCACACTAGTTTGCTTTGAGACTTGTGTCGTGAGTTTGGCAGATTTTTGGACAGGACTGTGAGGCTCTAGGTTGTTTTCTTCCTCATCAATAACTCCAATGCTCACTTTTAAGAATGATCCTCCTCCATCAATACCTATCTTTGCAAGGCAGTCTTTGAGGAGCCAATTTTTTCTTCAATCCTGTCTTTCAAGTCCTTAATGCTATTGCAATGAACCACAACCCTGTTTTCTCCAGAATCCGAAATCTTCAAGCTGCTGACAGTAAAAAAGTCCTGCAATTTTTGTCCAGACTCAGCAAACTTTTTTTGAAAGTTTGGTTCAACTAATCTTGTTGGGCTAATATGATTGATGAACGATCCAAGTTTCCTCATTCCGTTGTTAGACAATCCTTTATTCTGTTGAATTTGAACCATATCCCCTGTTGAAAATCTGGAAGGAAAAAGCTCTTGAGCAACAACACCACCTAATAAAACGAAACCTATTAGCATTCTCTAAAGAAGAATGTGGTAAGCATACATTTTACCTTTTCTGATTGGAAAATGCATCCCACTCGATTGACTAAGTCGAATTGTTCCTCCATGAGATGCTTCCTTGGATGCAACAATGGAAGATGCAACTTGTTCAGCTCAATTAGGATCTGACAATTCCAGTTGCTTCAAGTTTTCATGGCGTGAACCAATTGTGCAATGATGAGAAAGGCCTCGTGAGAGAACAGACAAACATTTTGTACAACGTTTTTCTGAACTTTTAGGTGGCTGACTGGTTGTTGCAGGCTGGTCTTTTTGCTCAAGTGGGTGAGTTTCTTTACCTTTGAGCCTCCCAATTTGGCAGATCAAACAATCACAGGTGTTTGAACTTCGAGTTGCCGGTTTTATTTGGATGTCTTCAAACCTGTACAATCTAGGTTTACATGTCTTAGGATCCCCATCTTCAAACTTTTTTAGTTTAAAACGACATGTCTGACATGAGGCAAGAGGAACTCTGCAGTCATTGAAGCTCAGATCATTCTTGATGAGGCGCTGAATCCTTTGCTTTAAAAAGTCTGTCAGAACTTGGTCTCCTTTCTTCATGCAGATAATGCACACAGATTTTTGACAACCCTCATAGGTTTTTGCTGAATTGGGCATTTTAGATGCACATTCTACGAATTTTTCTTCAAAACTATGATATTTATGCAGCCCTTTCCCGGAAAACAATCGCCGTAATTTGGTTGACATTATTTTGTTGATAAGAATTTAAAAAAAATCACACTGGTGTTTTAAAATACACCAAATACCATCAAGTAACACTTTCTTAACCTTTTGATACTTGTTATATTTGGAAAAGTTGTGTAAACTTGTGTCAAAAAAATTTTTCAGCAAAAGTCACAGCGTTTCATTAAGATAAAACTAATAAAGTCAAATAAGTCTTGCGGACGGTAATCCCTGATTTCAAAATTACTTGTTATGAGATCCCTATCATATGTACTAACACCCCTCAAAAGGGTTTTCATAGGAGTTGTTTTTGGTATTAGGGTCCAAAATTTTCAAACTGTGGGAATATATATATATATATATATATATATATATATATATATATATATATATATATATATATATATATATATATATATATATATATATATATATATATATATATATATATATATATATATATATATATATATATATATATATATATATATATATATGTTCTAAGTTGTTTAAGTTTTAAGTGTAAGCAAACATCCTCTATACTCCAGATCAAATAAGCTGTCATTTTTTAAATTTTAACAAATGATATATTTGTTTATCTAAATAAACCCATTCGCAATAATAAAATTCGCATGATAAAAGCATATAGGAATAAAAAAAATGCTCGAAAAAAAAACAAAAAAAAACGTGTTACTTTTATAATCGCTGTTGATGGTAACAACGTTAATAAAAACATCTCAAATGTTTAAAGCGCAAATCAAATATTGTCATAATAATCATTTTCTATTGTTACTATATCACTCTTTATAAATTCATACTAGTCCACTTATATAAAAAAAGTTAACAACCTCTTAGAAAAATAAAACAGCGTTTATAAAAGATTTGAAAAACCCTAAATTAAGGTTCTTCAAGGGTTTCTGTAAAGGGATTAGAAGATCCTTGTGGGTTTTTTGTATTACTTTGTGAATAAGCCGCCGCTTCTTCAAAGAACCATTAAAGGATATTAGGAACCCAAAGTTTTTTTAAAGAACCTTAAAATTTCTCCAAGAACCTTTAGGTTCTTCAAAGAACTGGCAAAGAACCCCGAAGAACCCTTTAGATTTTGTGTAGGTTAGAAATAAACTTTATTTACTTGAGCTTACCATCTTTTGAAAAATCTTTTGATTCCTTTGTGACACGATACTTTGTAATCATTTCTTCTTCGTATGTCTGTATAGCATCTAACAATGAATTATACGTCATAAACGTCATAAAACTTGAAAAATCTTTTGATTCCTTTGTGACACGATACTTTGTAATCATTTCTTCTTCGTATGTCTGTATAGCATCTAACAATGAATTATACGTCATAAACTGCAAAACATCTAAATTGAAATTGAAAAGGAGTTTTTTTTATATACTTATAGAAGTGTTCAGGATTGTGCATAGTAGTGTCCAGGATTGTGAAGCTGTAAAAAAAAAAATTTTTAGAATTTTTTTTTCTCAAACATCAATTTCTTGCTTAATTAAACAGTAAAGTTTGCATATTTTTAAAAAAACACAGGAGCAGCTACATTTTTGTGGCTCCTCTAAAATACAGTGACTTCACGGCTCAGGGTCCACAAGACTGGTAGTGTCACACTATCAAAAAAGTTGCACAACTACACAAAAGAAAACACCAAACAACGTTTTGTATTAGTTTGATTTTAAAGTCTAAACACATTCCGTATTCCTTTTGAGTTCATGTTTAAAAATGATATGTTCTTAAATGATGATGAAAAATAATATGTTCTCAAGCGTAAAAAAAAGTTAAAATACTGCTGGGATTAACTATTCACAAGTAAATTTTACAATACTTAGGGTAAGGGGGACCATATGTGCGCAGATACGGTATCCAAATGAGTAACCATTTGCTATCCTCGCCGGATACGCAAATAGGGTTTAAATGGGTACCAGACTATTCACTGGGCAACTTATAAGATTCCCAGATTTTCTTCTCATAATTATAATAATAAACAACAGAAAAAGTTTTTTTATATAAAAGCAAACTGCTAAGTACAAAGAAACATTTTTTAAACCGAGTAACAAATATAACTCAGGTGGATTATCGTTGGTAGCGAATTTTGGAGAATATATTCGGCTGTTATTCCCACAGTCCATTTCTATTTTGTTTTTTGTGCAACTTCTGTGCTTCAATTGAACTTAACAGCAACTAATTATAAAACAGTATATTAAAAGTACATTAAGAACCCACATTACCTGGTTTACAAACAAAAGGGATCAACCCAGACTTTTTTAGGTAACGTTAAAGTGGTAAGGGCATCCGATAAGTTGATTATTACAAAATGGCCTAATCGACCTAAAGATACATCCTAATTAAATCTACTAAAAAATAGATCCTAGTTAAATCCGTTGAACTTAAATCCTGCCAGATAACTAAAAATTGAAATTATATGTTCTACTACTATATAGGATACACTATCTCGTTTCTTAACCCTTAAACTAAACAGAATGAAGTATTCTAATAAATTGAGACTTAACTAGATTCCCTGCACAGATTGACACCATGCTTATAAAAACTACATAAAACTATATAAATGAAATAACAGTTTATAAAAATTAAATTGTGATCCTTGATTACCATTATATGATTGCTGCCTTGTTCTTCAAAGTTCTTGATGTTTCGTTTTTAACTTCATTATAATTTAGTCAACCAGTTTATCTGACTTATTTAAAATTGATATCTCATCCAGCTCTATTGCTCACCCAATTCAATATATTGAAATAACATGAATAAGATTGAGGTAGTTAACTGTAGAAATCTCCATTGTAATTTACATGAGTATATTAAGCAGATTAATTGGCTGTACAATATAAGCAATGTCTGTCCTACTCAATTTTAATGTTAGTGTCTTAATACTTTTAAATGAAGTAAAAAAATCAACATATACAAAACTGGCCGGATTATGTAAGCTCATAAGACTGCTAAATACGCATTTTGTCTATGACAAGCTTTACAAAAATCTTTAATCTCTTTGAAAATGCTTTTATTTAATGCTTTAAAAAGAGCTTCATATAAATATGCCATTTGTCACTTTAAAAAAAACAAGAAGATATTAAAAATGAAGAAAAGCTGGCAAACAGTTTAGCAAAGGAGAACTATACTAGTTTATGGTATACCCTATTGACTATGCCTCAGATCCTCCTAACGTATGTTACACATAGCATAACAACTATCGCATCTTGTCTAGCTCAATGAAGCCAACATGGTAACATGTTCCTACCATGCAACATATTTGTATCCTACGCTATATAGGATACAAATATCTCCTAGTTTTATCAGGCAAAGGCTAGGAGAAGCCAACTCTGACATAAAAAAACACTTGTGGGGCTCTTGGTTGAGTAAAAGCTAGAGATAAAAATGTCTCGATAAAAACTCACCTTGGGCAGTCATTTAATGCATTCAGCTACTGTCTAGTAGAAAGCCTCCTAGGCAAAGACAAAGAGGTAACATATTCTATGTTGACCAGCTTCGCACCCGTCTTCATCTATTAGGCTGGCGTAGATGAATTTGCAATACATTGTTTCCAATTTAGGACATTGAATGCTGGAACCTCATGACTCAATGCATGGGTTTTAGATTTTAGTCAGTGCTAGGATCTTACTTCTGCAACAGCATGAGACTCTCAATGGCTGGTGAACTTTAACTCAGATAAGACTCAATAGTTTTTAGCTAATCGTTATCACAATAATCGAGATCTTCCTATATTTATGAACAGTAATATATTTGATGAATCATCTACACTTTTGCTTCTAGAATTAACTCTTACTTCTGATCATTCTCAAAAACCATATATCAAATCCATTTCAAAATAAATTAGCATGCATCTTCTTATCGTCCTTGCCACCTTCTTACTTCTGAATTTGTCCGTACTTTTATGGAATAGTTGCCATATCTAAGATGGATCTTCCAATGATACCCTTTCTCTTTTAAACAAGGTGCAAAAGCGTAAACGTAGTTGGACCTGTTCTTGCAGCCAAACTTCAACCATTGCCACATCCTCTTAATTTTGCTTCTCTTTCTCTTTTCTACAAATACTATAATAGGCGCTAGTGTCTCTTGTCCCATATACTAAAATTCATTCTCATGTTATGCATCATTCAATGAAGTCTTATTCCTTTACTGTGACTGTTCTTAAGTTTACTAAGTTTACTAAGTTACCCTAAATTTACTAAAGAGGAAGAGGTTGATTGCAAATTGAACTTTATTGATATAATTAATAACTCTGCAAATTATAAATTTAATACTTCAACATTCTACAAAAAAAAAATACACAGTTTTACAAACAAATTTTAAAGGTTTCACTAATATTAATTATGAACTAGGACTCATTAAAATTCTGATCAAAAGGGCCTTCAAAAAACAGAAAGTTTTCATCTAGATATTGTAAAAATTAAACAAACTCTCCAATAAAACTCTTCTCTCTTCAACTTAATTGACAAAACCTTCAAAAGTTTACTTAACAATCTTATCTCTCCTAAAGAAAACATGTCATCTGAAAAACCATCTGATATACATTACTTTAAACTCCTTTATATTGGAAAATTTTCAAATACATTTCATCACCAATAAATTAAATACATTTAAAATATTGTAAAGATAATATAAAAGCAAGACCTAGTATTTACAACTTTTAAAATAAGTAGTATGCTTTTATCAAAAGACCCCTTACCCCTAAATTTAAAATCCTTTGTTGTCTATAAATTTGTTTATTCCAGCTGTAATGCTGAATACATCGGTGATTTAGAATACACCGGTGAATTCAGTAATTATTTATCTTATAAAATGAAATTATGGTAACTATTGTAAAACTATTAAATTTTTAATGCAGCCAAATAAATTGTTTGTATATAGAAGTTGTAATTTTTTTTTTACACCTGATGATATCATTTGATATTGATGAAAGATGTTGTTAAATTTTTTAAAATATTTACTTATTTGAAAAATATATATATATATATATATATATATATATATATATATATATATATATATATATATATATATATAGTGCTTTTTTTTTTTAAAAAAAATTCCCGGAACTCACATGTATTTTCCTTTATATTTCAAAAATAAGGCAGAAATCAGTAATTTAATTTGTGAATAAATTTTATATGTATAACCTTTGGTAGGCTCCCCTGCATATCATACCCATAAAAGCCGGAACAAATATAAGAAACTATTTTCCAATAAATGAAGCTTTTTTTTAAATAATGACAGTTTTTATTTTGGGTAGGGGGTGAGTAGATTGATGGGTCATGTCACTGTATATAAAATACAAACTTTACAAAACTATAAATTTCTATAACAAATCCCATAGTTTTTTAAAATTTTTGTTGTACATACCCTCTCATCTCCTTTCCTTGCTCTTAGTGTCTAATGCTGAATGCCTTCCGCTAAGTAACCATGAATCAACGTACTTTGAAGGATCGAAGCTTGTTAGCGGTGGTCCCACTAATTTTATGAATAACAACATTGAAACTGTTTATGTCATTAATGAAGCCCTTGTTTGTGTGATGATCATACTCATTGTTCGCATTCACTTGAGGAAATTGGGATAGTACGTAGAGCGTGTGCTAAATAAACTAAATTTTCAGGATGTATTTGTTCTGCAAGGTATTCACAAAATCTACGAATTATTTCTCTTTTATTTAACTGTAGTCTTAATGACAGGTTTCTGATTTCAGTTTATCCAAATGTCACCTGAGTGTTTATGTTTTCAGGCCAATGTATTTGGACTAAGATGCGAGCCCATTGGGCTAAATTAACATCTTTATCAGCAAGCAACATTTTCTCAATTGACTCTTTTAGTTTCATGTAAAAAGGCGTTTGGATCAATAGCTGAATCATTTTTGAAATTTTTATTGTGAACGGAAACTCCCTAAAAACGGATATTCAAATTTGCTTTAGTTTCATCACTTTAGTGATGAAACTAAAGCAAATTTGTAATAGGGGCCACCACTATTTCTTCTTTCTTCGAATACTTGAACAAGAGCATTAACTTTTTGAATATATATATATATATATATATATATATATATATATATATATATATATATATATATATATATATATATATATATATATATATATTTATATATATATATATATATATATATATATATATATATATATATATATATATATATATATATATATATATATATATATATATATATATATGAATATATCTATATATTTTTTTTTTAATTAAATATACATAATTCTTAATAATATAATAACAATAGTTATATATATACAATATATATATATATAACTATTGTTATTATATTATTAAGAATTATGTATATGAAAGAAACACTAACCTTAAAGAACTATTACATCCATGAATTAATAGAGTAACCCACTGTAAAATCAATGAAGTTAACGAAATAAAGACCACGTAATAAAGTAATTTTATTTACAAATAATAATATATCTATCAAACAAGGCACGTGTGTTGTGTTGTTATTAATATTGCTCCGTAAATTTTAAATGTTGTTCGGCAAAATACGCAAATAAAAATAATCGTTCCGAATGGGATATGATCTAAACACAACCTTATTACTATGTAAACTGTTTTGTTTGTCAATATACGATAGGCAGAAGCATCAATATAAACCTAAACTCCTAGATTTCAAATAGGTCTCAATAATAGCCACTCATTTGACCAAATAAGAGCCACGGCTCTTATTTGTAATATCGTATTATTATGTGGCTATTATTAGGACAATAGTTGAATTTATTGTGTATATAGTTTAAACACAAATTGTGTCACAATAAATTAAACTTATATGTCCTTATTATAAGTCCTAGTAACTTATATGTCCTAATTATATCCTTATTATAGTTTTGCTTAGTGCTTATACATGGTAGAGTAAATACTGATTATAGTTAATATAAGGCTTATGTTAACTATATCCAGTATTTACTTTACCATGTATAAATACTAAGAATAATTAGTATTTACTTTACAGTATTTATTATAGCGGTTTATTATGTTTGTAAGTATGTAATTTTATTTTTATAATGTTTGTAAATATTTAAAGTAATATTTATATATGTATTTTATAATTTATATAATACATTTAAACAAAAATTATTATTAATAATATTTACTAGCTACATAACAATTTAAAATATATATATTTTGTATATTTAATTTAATGCTCACTAAATATACCATTATATTGTGTTCTTGTGTTATTTCTGTTACATTGATGTACAGATATGTATGATAACCATACTTTATGCTTGTATACGTATTTGTTTGTGGTATCTGTATATATTATGATAATATATTTACATTAGATTTTTGTAAGGTCAACTATTGTAGTCAGTATACCTTATCTTTTAGTTAATTTGAGTAATTATGGGAAAAACCACGAAAATCACAAAAAAGAATAACAAGATTAAAAAGAAAACTGCCTCTAGTTTTAATTCAAAGTTGAACCAGAAAGTGACAAATGTAAAGAGATTTCAGTGGTCCAACAGCGACATGAAAAATGCAATTGCAGCTGTTCAAAACAGTTTAATGTCGCAACGAGAAGCTGCAACACAATTTAATATTCCGCGGTCAACCCTTGGTAAATATCTTAAAGGAGATTCAGTTCTTGGTGTCAAACCTGGACCTAGTCCAGTATTATCAATGAATTTAGAGCTAAAGCTAGTTGAATATGCTGCAACAAGAGCTGCACTTGGATTTGGATTTGGAAAAAGACAATTTAAAAAATATGCTTCAGATTTAGCCATAAAGCACAATTTAAAGTTTAAGCATTCAACTCCTTCAGAAAAATGGTGGCGCTCATTTAATCAGCGACATAAAAATTTAGTTTTGCGAAAGCCTGAAGGTACTTCATCAGTTTGTCATCAATGCATGTCTATACCAAAAGTAGCTAAATATTTCTATTCACTGCATGAAGTTTTGAGGGACACTCATGCCCTTTTAAAGCCTTCAATAATTTGGAATATGGATGAGTCTGGGCTGCAGATGGATTTTAAACCTCCAAAAATAATTGCAAAAAGAGGTACAAAACATCTTCAATCTCGCACATCTGGAAAACGTGAAACCATAACCATTATTGCTGCTGTAAATGCTGCAGGTGGTTCAGTACCTCCACATTTGATAGCAAAAGGTAAAACGGCTAGATCTCTTCATTCTTTTAATACTGCAGATGCACCATCAGGTTCAAATTGGAGTTTTAGTGAGACAGGTTGGACAAAGCAAGGAATTGCATTTCTTTGGTTCACTAATACTTTCTTGCCTAATATAGGTAGAGATAGGCCACAGATTCTCATAGTAGATGGTCATGATTCACATAACTTTGTTGAGTTATTATCTGTTGCAATCAAAAATAACATACATATTGTGGAAATGCCAGCACATTGTTCGCATTGGCTTCAGCCTCTAGATCGCACAGTATTTGGTCCACTTAAAACGTATTATAATCAAACATGTCATGAATTAATGAATGAATATCCTGGAGTTACTATTAACAAGTCAACTTTTTGTGGGCTTTTTAGAAATGCCTGGGATCAAGCTCTCACAGCTGATAATATTATTTCAGGGTTTCGATCATGTGGTATTCATCCATACAATCCTTCTGCTGTTCCAAGCACAGCTTACTTGCCTAATTCTGTCTATTCGTTACAACAGCTACTTGACTCAAATGATTTGCTTGAATCAAGTCTGCATCCAATTAAAACTGACACTAAAATAACAAGATCAGAATATGCAATAGAAGAGGAAGTTGATTTTGAAGTAGAATTAGTTAATAAACCTGGAAATATTTCTGAATGTAAAATAGATAATCGAATGCCAATTGGAGCCATTGTTCAGCCTAGTCTGACACCAATTACGTTATCTACAAACCATTCAAATAATGATAGTGACAATGATATTTTGCCTTATCCAAAGATATATACCATCAAGTCAAAAGAAAATCGTAAAAAGGTTCAAAAATATTTTGTATTAACTTCTCAAGAAGCAATGCAATCTAAAGTAAATGATGAGGAGAAAAAAAAAGAGAAAGTCGCAGCAGTTGAAGAGAAAAAATTGAAAAAGCAAAAAGAAAAAGAAAATAAAGCACAACAAAAACAGGAGAAAGAGATACAAAAGTTATCTAAAAAAGCTAACTCAGTTAGAACGAGACAATTCAGTTCAATTCCAAAGATATTGGAATTCAATATCTCTTCAGATAATCAAAATATGTATTAAAGTACCAGATAATGGAGTTATCTCCATCGATAATGATACTAGTGAGCCAATGTAAATAAATTATTATCAACAGTTCATAATAAATATATTGTGCAAACTTCTTATTATTATTGTAATACTATCAAAACTTCTAATATATTATTGTAAAGCTTATTGTCCATATATTGAAAATTGCATTATCATATGCTAGTTGAAATCATATAACAGCTATATGCTAAAGCTATTTTTTATTTAAAACTTGTTTTATGCTTGATTTTCTATAAAAGTAATTAAAAAGTTTCTTAATTTATTTTTTATTTCCTTTTTGATAGACTGTCTTAATTTGAATAACAAATAAAAACTATTTAAGTATCAACCGAAATAATATTTTTAAGCGAAGTATAAAATATTTTACTTTAAAAAAAAAAATCTTGGTTTATAGTTCAATAAAGTAGATCCTAGTTCATTATTAGGCTTTAATCGCCTGTCTGAATAATACTTTTCAATATATAAGCATTCTTAGATATATCGATTTTAGGTAATGTAAGTGGCTCATAATAGGTACAGTTTCTTAATTTGCTGGCTATTATTTGGTCTACCCGGCCAATAATTGGTACAAATTTAAAATCTCAGTTTAAATACATTTTTATCTGAATTAAAAATGTTTTAAAATTAAAAAATGGTTTGTATAAGGTGTAGGCGTTGGTCATTAATAAAACAGTAAAAAAAAAAATTCACCATTAGTTTAAGACACCCTCCACGACGATTTATAAAAAATTTGTGGCCATTAATTGGTCACTTTGCCCTATTATCAATGTTATGGCAAGTATTCAGCTTGGTCATAATTTTTTTGTTATATTTTAATATTTGTTTTTAGGTAAAGATAAACAATTTTTGCCTTATTAAATAATAATAGAAATCAATAACAAATCAGTTATCAGTCGACAATAAGAAATAATTTACAATTATTGGTTATTTGAGTGCCCTTTAAGAGATTGCTTCAGCTATTTGAGATAGCTGAAGCAATCTCTTGAAGGGCACTCGCAATTTTTTCAGATGAGTTCGCAAGATGTTCTGTTGATTCTGCAATGTGTCTTAAGGGCTCAGCAACACTTTCCAAAAGAGGTTGATCGTTTTTCATAGATGGATTTAGAGCAGACGCTATTTGCTGTCCGGTTGCAACAATTTGTTCACCAAGCTTGGACATGTTGTTCATATAATCATCTACATTTGATGGCGATAGTTTCCGTTTTTTAGAGGTGTTTATTGACTTGAGTTCAACATTCTAAAATTGTTTTTAAACTTGATGTTAAAAGCAAAGAAAAAAATATAAAAATTTCCATCATCTATATATATTTAAATTCAGTTTTTATAGTCGTGTAAATTTGCGTAAGAAAAAAAATCATGCACTGCCAAAGAAGCATAAAAATGTCTTGGGTTTTTAGTAATTACATTATCATAGTAATAATAACAATAACAATAGTAACGATTAAAATTAGTGAATAAAAGTAATGATTATAAATAAAATAGTTTATTTTTTAGCATTAAAAAAAAAATAGTTTGATTTTTTAAAATGTTTTGAGCCAAACTCTACTATAACAATTTAATAAAGAACCATATACATTATATAAAACAAATGTTTGGAATGAACCTCTTTTGTTAAAATTGTCTCAGTAGATGTTTTATCTTGCTTTGTCATAAACGGAAAAGAACTAGCTAATGCATCAGAAACTAACAGTTCTTCTGTAGTATTTGTTGCATCGTGCAACACTGGTTGAAATGAAAATGTTGAAGAGTCTAAGGAAAATGCTGTAAGCAAATCGTTGGATGTTTTAGGACTTTGAAGAGTGTCAACACCTCCGGGTATTTCCTACAATGAAAAATTATTATTTTTTATACACAAAGCAAAATTATGAGGGGCTATTGGGTAAAATGTATTATAAATGTATTACCATGTATGAAACCTTTGGCATTTTGGACACCATTTCCTGATCGATGGAATTGAGCTCTTCCGTGCATTTCTCACCCCCACCAGTCTTGTTTATACTAAATATGATACGTGCTGCTTTGCCTTTGCTGTCTGATTTCTGATCAGACAACTTCTTTTTACATTGAAGAACTGTGCAATCTGGACCAACAAGGGAAACTTGATCCGCAATTTTGCTCCATACATCATCTTTTGTTAATTTTGAGATAGCTGAAAATAATGTTTATGTAATTTTAAATTCTTAAGCGTTAAAAGCTTTGTTATTAATACTATATATTAAATCTTAACAAAAGAATATCTTTAATACAAGGAGAAATTTTTTCATCAATTGTTTCATTGTAGAGCTTTATCAAAAGAGTTAACTGTTCGTTCAATTTTCAGCTGTTTTTTTCGAATCTTTAATGTTTTCTGACACTAGAATAATAAATTTTGTCAAAATATAAGCAGCATTATACTAAAATGACATAAAATAACTCTATACATAAATATATAATGCATATACATTTATATATATTATACATATACTTTATATACATAAAAACAAAGTACCTACTTCTTAATAGTGAAATGTTATTTGTTTTATTTTAAAGAGCTTTATTTTGTTAGCTTTTCTGTCATGATTTCACTACACCTTTTCAAGATGTAATTGAGAAAACAAAAATTGTAATTAAGAAACGTAAGATGTAATTGAGAAAACGTAAGTTGTAATTAAGAAACATAAGATGTAATTTAGAAAACGAAAATTGTAATTAAGAATCGTAACATGTAATTGAGAAAATGTAAGTTGTAATTAAGAAATAGAAAGATGTAATTGAGAACACGAAAATTTTAATTTAGATATCGCTTTAAAGGAGTAAGTGTAAAATGGCGCTTAAAAAAAATGGCGCGTAAAAAAATGGAGCGTATAAAATGACGCACGTAAAAATGACGCAAGATTTGTAGCGTAAATTTAATTTTTAGGGAAAAATTTATAATTTGTGGGCAAATGAATTTAACATAATAAACACTAAAAACATTTTAGGGAAAAATTTATAATTCAATTAAAAATTATAATTAAAAATCACTTAATTGATCATTTAAGCACCAACTTGTACGTCTTCCATATTTAAAATAGTTGCATAGTGCGTGGTTGTGTGTTGTACCGCACGTGCACAATCTCCTCCCATTATAGTATTTTTCGCCTCAATTACAATTCGTTCTAAGTACTGCATGCGCTGTTCCGCAATCCCGTCACCTAATACAGGTGGAATGCGAATTGCATTTTTAACGTTACTTTTAATTTTGGACCAGATCGTTTCCACCGGGTTCAACATTGGACTGTAAGGTCCCAAGCGTAACAACTGAGCTGGTGAATTATCAAACACCCTTTGCAAACGAGCGTGACAAGGAGCATTATCTGTTACGACGACCAAATCCTCCAAACGATTCCCGGATGTAACCCACTGGTGAAACATAGCCAACATCCACTCGTTACAGGAATCTGCTTTAAATGATCCCCTGCGAGTTTCTATCATGACGACATTTGTAGTTGAAATAGCTGCGATTAAGTGTATGTTTAAACCTTTTGAAGCAGGTACTTTCATAATTGCTCTTTTTTCTTGTCTCGCGCGTCCTTGCGTTTTTCTACAAAAAAGGTTAAAATTTGTTTCATCCAACCAAACTATCTGACGACCATTTGTGATATGTTCGTTGATGTTTCTAACATATTCAGCTCTTTTTTGTTTGTTTTCATAACTGTTCATTGTAGAAGGCTCCTTGTGCACTTTTTTTAATGAGAACAATCTGCCTTCGAGGTAATTTGCTATTGTTGTTGTGCTAACGGTTATGTTAAATTGTCTTAATATCTTTGTTTTGATGGCCACCAATGTTAATTGACAATAATTTTCAATCCATGTTAATGTTTCTTCGATTTGATCTTCGGTCAACTTTTTCGGTTTAAAACCTCCTTTTCCGATGAAATTTGAATTTCCGCTGCAAACCCAATTGTATGCTGTCTTATATTTGATACCTAGCGTTTGCGCGAGATTCACCCAATCTTCAAATCGCTCCGCACATTCAACAACTCTTCTCCTGTCATTTGGAGAAGATAAAACGTAACGTTTCCTTTCAACTTGTTCAGTTGTGTGTATTTCATGCCGACAAATCGGACAACTTGAATCTGGTTGTTCCAGAACTGGACGTAAACAAATTTGGTGACATAAATGTTGACAAAGATTTAGCTTAATCACAGACTTTCGGGTCATAGTGTATTGGCATATAACACAACGATCTTTCAATTCCATTATTATTACTTGTGCATACAAAAGCAAAATTTAAGATTATAACTTAAATTCATGTCCAAAAAGACCTTTTGTAACAACCTACAAACTTAGACTGTGAATTTGCTATTTTAATTTATGTGTTCTCAATTACAAGTTACGATTTCTCAATTACATATTATGATTTCTCAATTATATCTTACGTTTTCTCAATTACATGTTGTGTTTCTTAATTACATGTTACGACTTCTTATTTACATGTTGTGTTTCTCAATTACATATAACGTTTTCTCAATTACATGTTGTGTTTCTTAATTACATATTACGACTTCTTAATTACAACTTTCGTGTTTTCATTTACATCTTGAAAAGGTGTAGATATTATATAGTGAACAGTGTAGACATTATTAGTTAATTTACATATTTATGTTTTTAAAATTATTTCCTTTTTAGCTCATTTCTTGAGCAATTAGTATACTGATCCAATAGCAGGAAAAATACGCGTTCTTAGTATAAATTGTTTAAAACAATAATTACTATTTTTTAACAAACTTCTTGAGTAATCGTTAGATCAGTAAAATCTACTAATCACTCAATAAAGAACTAATAAGGAAATAATTTTAAAGACACCATTAACTAACAATGTTTACACGGTTTCCTATATAATATCACTATATAGTATAATATGTATATAAAATATCTAAACATATATAATTACTTTTATTATATTATTTTTTTTAATTTCATTATTTCTTGTGCATATATATATATATATA